AGGGAGTTCGGGCTCCCGGTTCTTCCCTTGGTGCTCGCGTCTTGGGCGTGCTGTTGTGCTGAGCTGTTCGCATTTGCCACGTGTTGAGTGGTTATGAGGTTGGGCCAAATCATCCTTCATCAGATGCCATAGCCCCTTGTAGAGCGTCTATCATTAGGTCAGCCAGCCCAATCTGCATCAGTGAAAATAGTGAGTTGGCGATAAGATTTGGATGAGAAGAAGAGCTCATGGTCCAAAGTGCCTTTCAAGTAACAGAGGATTTGTTTAACAGCAGCTCAATGATCCAAGGTGGGTGCTTGGAGAAATTGACACACATTATTGACCGAGAATGAGATGTTGGACTAAGTCACGACCACATATTGTAGTGTACCAACTACATTGCGGTACTCTATGGGGTAAGCTAGTGGTTCGCCATGAAACTTACTAAGAGAAGTAGAGACTACCATGGGTGATGAAACAGATTTCACGCCCTCAAGGTGGGTGTGCTTGAGGAGATCTGGTATATACCGGCGTTGTGAGATAAAGAGGCCCATAGATGATCGATAAGCTTCCATGCCCAAAAAGAAATGCAAAGGGCATAAGTCCTTGAGTGCAAATGTAGAAGACAAAGTGGTGATCAGTTCAACAATAGCAGTAGTGGACGTACCCATGACAAGTAGGTCATCAACATAAATCAAAACATATAGTGACAAGGAGCCACATCAAAGCATAAACAAGGAAGAATCAGCCTTGCTACTACGAAAACCCATATCAAGAAGTTTGGAACTAAGACGGGAAAACCATGCCCACGGTGCTTGCCCGAGTCCATAGAGAGCTTTATGCAATTTGCACACATGAGTAGGAAAACGAGGATCTTCAAAGCCTCGAGGTTGATGTACATAGATATCTTCATCAACCATCCCATGACGAAATGCATTATTTATGTCAAGTTGATGAATGGGCCAGCCATTGGAAATCGCCAAGGCAAGCATAAGTCGTATAGTTACTAGCTTAACAACTAGACTAAACATGTCCATGAAGTCAACACCCGGTATTTGTTTGAAACCTTGAGCTACAAGCCTAGCCTTATAGCATTCTTAGCTGCCATCAACCTTTCTTTTAATCTTATACACCCAATTAGTACCAATTATATTCATAGAGGGATGATATGGAACAAGTGACCATGTACCATTCTTGACCAATGCGTCAAAATCTACAGTCATGGTTTCATGCCATTGGGAGCACTTAGACACTTGAGTATAGCAAGATGGTTATACTTCATCCAGATCAACATCAGCCAACAGTGCAACAGGTATAAGATGCTTTGTGACTAAAAGAGAATGAGAAGAGACCTATTGGGAGCCATCCATACTACGGGTAACCATGCCATGGCTCCAAGTAGTAGTTGTAGAGGAAGGAAGCACTGAAGGGGATGGTGCCATAGGTTCAATAGAATCCAATAGTTACTACACAAGATGAGTCCGACGTGGGGCTGCACTCACACTACTGTCAGTAGGTATGGAAATATTTGAAGGAGCTCCTACATGTGCACTTGTATTAGACGTCATGTGAAGAGGGGGTGCACTGTTAGAGGGGATGTTAGAAATAGTAGTAGCTGGAGGTATTAAAGCAATAGTTGCATTAGATGACAAAGTGACAGGTGGGTTTAGCTGAATACCTGTAGGACTGATAGTAGGAGTAGGTGCTGAAATGATACCAGGAAATGAATCCTCATCAAAGATAACGTGCCTACTGATGTATACACGACCAGAGATTGGATTGAGACTACGATACCCTTTATGAACACTATTGTAGCCAATGAAGATGCAGCGGAGAGATCTATACTATAACTTGTGATTGTTGTATGGGCATAAGTATGGGTAGTAGGCACACCCAAAAACCCATAATAGAGTATAATCCGGGGGCTTCTTGAAAAGCTTTTCATATGGAGAAAGAGAGCCTAGTGACCGAGATGGTAATTTATTAATCAGAAACACAACTGTCTCAGCTGCTTCCATCCAAAAAGTGAGGGGGAGTGAAGAAGTGGCTAGCAATGCTAGTGTGGATTCAATAATATGCCGATGATGTCGTTCTACACAACCATTTTGTTCACTAGTGTGCGGGCAAGAAAACCAATGGTGAATCCCAAGAGAGTCCAAATAAGGAGTTAATTTGCGAAAGTCACCACCATTATCAGACTGAAATATTTTTGTAGAGAATAGAAGCTCAACATGCTTTTGGAACTTGAGAAATATAGAAGAAGCATCAGACTTCCGCACCAAAGGATAAATCTAAACAAAGTGGCTATAGTCATCAATAAATATGACATAATATTTAAAGCCTTTAGTAGAAGCAACGGGAGCAGGGCCCCATACATCTGCATATACTAATTCTAATGGACTCTTAGATATTTTATGAGAGGAGGGCAAGTGGAATCTATGACTCTTGCCTTTATTACATGCATCACAAACGGAAGGATTCACTAGACTAGTAAACGGAAAGCCATACTTGTAAATGATACTAAGAGACTCGAAGAGCAGCATGTCCCAATCTGTTATGCCATCCATGAATGGAATTGCGTTCGCCTACAAACACCGCCTTGCCTTCAGATGACCTGGCTCTAGCATTGCTTGGAAACTAATAAAGGCCACCTCTTCTAATTCCCTTGAGCAAGGTTCTCCCCAAGTAATCCTTGATAAGAAAAAAATCACGGTGAAATTCAAAGAACAGGTTATTGTCTCTAGTAAACTGACTTACTGAAAGTAAGTTTTTAGATATTTCAAGCACATGATAAAAGTATTCAACTTAAATAGATTGCCATGACGAGCCTATGTGAGCAATAAAATGTCCCATACCATTACCAATCTTAACACGTTCGTTGCTGGAGTAATTAGATTTGATTTGCAAATTCTCGAGCTCAAGAGTCAAATGATGGGTAGCTCCTGAATCTGGGTACCATGTCGGACCAAAGCCAGTGCTGGTTCCAGTATGAAATGTTGTTGGATCAGTATATTGCTGAGATTCACCATTATAAGATAAGTCAAACCTGTGTCTACAAGTCAGGGCTCCATGGCTGAACTTATTACAAACTTGGCATATGATAGAGCTTTGAGATTTTCCTCAATAATTGCTAGGACTAGAGTTGTTAGGTTGGATATGGGGTTGGCTACACCCCCTGCCTTGACCTCATCCATAGTTATTGTTGAACTGGGAACCACTATTCTAATTTTTTTTATGGAGACATGTCATCAGTAGTGACATTGTGCTAGGCAAGCCAAGTTTCACGCCCAAGGAGGAGTCCAAAAATATCATCTATAGTAAGTTGATCAGCATCTAGTCTGTTGGTTATAGCAGTGACCAACGACTCTTATTCAACACCAAGACCAACGACAAGATACAGTACGAGATTTTGCTGGGCAACTAGTTTGCCATAGCGGAGAGATTGTCAGCAATTGATTTTGCCTTCTGCACGTACTCAACTACACTCAGATTACCTTTCTTCAGAATTTGAAGTTGTCAAAACAATTGAAGCACTTTGGCTCGAGATTAATTTGCAAAGGAGCAAGCAAGGGCATTCCATACTTCTACTGTAGACGAGAGCCCAACAACTTGGGCCAAAAATACTTCGGTCAGTGAAGCAACTAACTAGCTGAGCACCAATTGATCGAGTTGCAGCCATGAAGTGTATTCAGGATTTGTGATCATTTTGCTATTATTAGCAGGATCTGGAATTTCTTGTGGAGGAGTTGGTGACGTATCCTCAATCAAACCCATTAACCTGTGCACACGTAGAATAGGGAGGAGTTGGGCCTTCCACAATAAGTAGTTCTCTCCGTTAAGCTTAATAGGTAGGTAATGAGTTATGTTGGGCAGAGTAGGAAGGGAAGTCTGAGTCATGCTCCCAACAGCAGAGTAGGAGCCTAACCCAATTGTAGAGGAAACGAAAAGTTGTTATTGTTGGTGGTCATATGGCTTTGATACCAAGTTGAACAAGATACGAACTCAAAGATTCTGGGTAAAGTTCGGTGTGTATATCACTCGAACCTTGTTTCATTTATACTTGTAGGTACAAGAGTTATAATGGGAAACAAAAGAATAAAAATAGGGGAGATAAGATAAACACAAACAACATGATTTACACAAGAAAATGATTCAAGCCTATCTGAACAGAGGTTATGTATCTGATGTGTCAACACTTAGACTTGTGATTCTTTTTTTTTTCCTTCTCCACTATCATCCATTCTTGATTTGAATCATTTGTTTCCTTGGATGTACCTTCCTCAATCAATGGTTTTTCACCATTGTGGCTAGCTGATTTCTCTTGCAAGAGTAGCTAAACAATTAAGATGTAATGTTTGCTTTACAATTGGTGAATTTTGAATTCCACAAATAATGATATTGGTTGAGGCACTTTTGAATGGTTGCACTAGCTCCAATTACCATATCATCCCAACATCTTTGCTTCACAACAGCTAGAACATATTCCAGTCTTTTGTAACCACACTTGAAGACTTTCAATTTCTTGAAATTCTTGTCCCTTCTTGGGATCCATATTTATATTTCATCGAACACCAAAGAAACTCTTGTCATCCCTCAAGTGATGCTGTGCTAGCAAGGGAGAGATTGTCACGTAAGAATGTAAAGCATCGAACATGGAGGGGTTTGGTGAAGACATCAACTGTTTGATCAACAGTGGTGAGAAAATGGACCTCAAAGAGGCTATTTTGAAACTTATCCCGAACAAAGTGAAAGTCTAGCTCAACATGTTTGCTACATGAGTGATGAATGGGATTAGATGCTAAGTAAGTTGCATCGATGTTGTCACACCACAAAACTGGAGAGGATGCAGGCGAAAATCACATTTCATGAAAGAGCATCTGAATCCAAATGAGAACAGCTACAAGGATGGCAAGGAACCTATACTCCGCTTTCATACTTGATCTGGATATGGTGGAGCATTTCTTGGAGGAGCAAGAGATAAGATTAGGCCCATAGTAGACACGATAACCTCCATGAGAGAATCAGTCATCTAAGCACCCGGTCCAATCTGAGTCACTGTAGCCATGAAGTTGAGTGGAGCAAGAATGGCGAATGTGAAGACCCAGGGTGTGGGTGTGCTTAATGTAATGTAAGATACATTTTAAAGCAGCCCAATGATTAACAGTGGGCTTGGACATGTACTGAGCAACCTTGTTTACTAAGAAAGCCAAATCTGGACGGGTCATAGTTAAGTACTGCAGAGCACCCACAGTACTATGGTATAATGTAGGATCATCATAGGCTTTAGAGTCATCAGTGGAGAGTTTAATGGTAGCTGCCATAGGAGTGGTACAAGGTTTTGCATCTGCCATTCTGGCACGGTGAAGGAGATCCAAAGCATACTTGGACTGAGATAGAATGATGCCATCAGAGGTGGGTTGTGACTCTAGCCCAAGAAAGAAGTGGAGAGGTCCAAGGTCCCATATGGAGAATTCAGAGGCGAGAGCATTTATGAAGTGTTCAATGAGTGTTGAGTTGGATCCAGTGATGATAATGTCATCGATGTAGATAAGTAGCAAGGTGATGTCACAGGATGTATGATGAATAAACAGTGAGGCATCAACTTTGGACTCAATGAAATCATGAGAAATTAAGAAATTGTGGAGGCGAGTGAACCAGGCTCGTGGAGCCTGCCGTAAGCCATAGAGGGACCGGTGTAACTTGTACACATGGTCGGGAATGGAGGGGTGTTGGAAACTGGGAGGTTGGCTCATATATCTTCAATTAAGTATCCATGAAGGAATGCATTCTTGACGTCCAATTGACGAGTGGGCCATGATCTGGACGTGGAAATTGAGAGAACTAATAAAATGGTGCAAGGTTTAACCACAAGACTGAAGGTGCCTACAAAGTCAATTCCTTCTTGTTGATGATAGCTCTTAGCAACTAAATGTGCTTTGTAACGTTCAATTGTGCCATCGGTGTGGTGCTTAATGTCGAAAGCCCATCGACAACCCATGATGTTTTTATCAGGAGGTGGTGGGACAAGAGACCAAGTGTGATTCAGAACAAGAGTAGAGAACTCAGTGTTCATGGCATTACGCCATTTTGGATCATGGGCAACCTGCGTAAAGCAAGTGGGCACCATCTCATTGGTGATAGAAGTTAAGGCATATCTGGGATTGGGCTTGAACACCCTAGATTTGGATCTGGTCTGCTTGCCATGAGTAGGAGCAGAAGCTGAAACCAGAGAGGCAAGTGAGCCTGTAGTAGAGGACAGCCCACTGGGAGTAGCAGTGTTGGGTTGTGTAGACGAGGAGTCCAGGGAAGCCTCAAGAGAATGGGCTGATGGAGATGGAGAATGAGCCTGTGAAGATGCAACAGTATGGGTGTGCCAAAGGACTGAGTGGCGGGCTGATGACCAATGATAACTGGATCTGGAGAGTGGTTAATGGGCTGAAGACATGGAGCCAGAATAGGTGGCGGGCCCAAGATCGAAGGAGCATCCTTATGGTGAGTGCTTGGAGAAGGCCCATCACCATAGGAGAATGTATTCTCATCGAAGATCACATCATTAGAAATGTAGAGACGACCAGTGGACTTGTGCAAGTAGCGATAACCCTTATGGTGAGAACTGTATCCAAGGAAAGTGCAGCAAAGGGTGCGATAATCAAACTTCTCTTTGTTGTAAGGGCGCAAGTTGGGATAGCAATCATACCCAAAAACTTTGAAGTGACTATAATCCGGGGGGCATCCAAAAAGTAACTCATAGGGAAACTTGTGGCCAAGCGTAGGGTTCGGAAGATGATTGATCAGATACACTGAAGTGGCGACAGCCTCGTGCCAGAAGTTGCAAGGGAGATAGGCATTATCAAAAAGTATCAAGCCTATATTGACAATGTGTCGATGTTTATGCTCAACCACTCCATTTTGAGCATGTGTATGAGGGCAACTGAAGCGATGTAAAATACCATGTGTTTGTAAGTATGAATTGAATTAATGGTATTCACCCCCTTCATCAATGTGTAAAGTCTTGATGGGCCGATTCAACTGCTTTTCAATCATAGTACAAAATCGTATAAAAGTGGGCAAAGCTTCAGATTCATGAATAAGGGAAATATCCATGTGAAACGACTAAAAGCATCAATAAACTTAATATAATAACGACATCCACTATTAGAGGGAATAGGAGAAGGCTCCCATAAATCAGAATAAATAACATCTAGAGGAGAAGACACACTAGTTGACGAAGGAGGATGAGGTAGACAATGAGACTTTTTGCGGGCACAGGAAGTGCAGAAAACTGAACTGGATTTGGAGTCGATTGGTAAGTTGTGTTGCTGGAGAATCTGCTGTACAAACATTTCTATGGATGCCCAAGACGCCTGTGCCATCCATCAACAATAGTACGCACCCCCAAGAAGGCCACAAATTCCTTATTTGAGCTACTAGATGGAGAAATAGAAAGCTGATAGAGGCCATCCTTAGTCGGCCCTCAAAGAAGAGGAGTCCCCCGAATTTCGTCCTTTATAATGAAGAGAAGTATGACCAATATGTTTAATGTCCAAACTTGTCCCATTACCCATGTCTATTTTATCAGTGCCATTGTAATTAGAACGGATAGAGAGATTGCCAAGATCCACTGTTAAATGATTTGTGGCATCAGTGTATGGGTACCAATCGCCATCAGAGGAATTGGAGGTGTTAGCAGCAATAAGAGCCTTAGATTGAGAGGTATTACCAGAGGCTTGAAAACTGAGATCGAAACGGTGAAAATAGGAGAGAGTAGAATGGCCAACCTTGCCACAGACCTGACAGGTCACCTTTGGTTGAGACTGTGATGGGGTTTCACCATGACCACCATGATAGGAGTTGGGTGGTCGAACTCCTAGTTAGTGCACTACTGAGTTGGCGGAGAGTTGTGCCTCAGAGAGAGCAGTATGCTGGTAGTCAAGTCTGAGTTCAAACTGAAGCAGAAGACTGTGAAGTTCCTTGAGAGATAAGGGATCATGTCTGGTGGTAATAGCTGTGACCAAGGGGTTGTAATCTGGCCCTAAACCTCTAGTGGTATAGAGGATTACGTCATCAGAGGAGAGTCTGTGTCCAACAACTTCAAGAGCAACGGTGAGTCCTTTGATTCATTGTAAGTAGTCAGTCATCATCTTCGATCATTTGTGGAGGTGATGAAGATCATTCTTTAGTTTCATGATCCTGGATCAAGAAGGAGAAGCATATACTCGAGTTAGGGTTGTCCAGGCCTCGTGTGAGGTGCGGCAACTGACAACTTGAACCAACACACCTTCCGTTAAAGTCGCAAGTACCCAGCTAAGCAACAACTTATCCTGGATCATTGATGTATTGTCGTGGACACTTGTTTGAGCCATCAAGATAGCCGAACAAGCTGAGACCTTTAAGCATGGGTTGGTATTGAGCTTTCAACAATAAATAATTGTGTCTAGTTTGATAGAAATGAGATTGGCAAGATTATCGAAGGGTGAAGGGAAAGGGGAGGAGAAAGAAGATGAATTGCTAGCCATGGCTCTAATACCAAGTGAAGACAATGATTTCAAAGGAATATTGAATGTGTTATCATAGATTATCAATGATTTAAATACAGGTTACAGGATAACTCCATCGGTTAAGATAGAGATCACAAGATAACTCTATCATCTGAGATAGAGTTTGAGATATACAACAACTCCAGGTGGATGTACCTTATCTAGCTGGATTGCATGCGTGATAGGGATAACAAATGCATGAGTTACGTGAATGTTGGAGTAACTCTAACAAGCAACACCCCAAGACCAATCTCAATGACACCTCCTGTAGGCTTGAAGACTACTTGTTCTTTCCTTTTGTGAGATTTAGCTTGCTTACCAATTTCAAATGCAACAACATCTTTCTTTCCTTCTCTTTCTACTTATTTTTTTTATTCCACCTACACTTGCTCTCTTCGTGTCCAATTTTGTTACAATGAGTGCCATAACTAAGGAGGTTTTCATATATTATCTTTCAAAGGATCAACTACAACACAAAGCCTAGCACTCGTTATTCTTGTTAACTTAGTTGTGGTAAGATCAATTCTAAGAACCTTTCCAACCACCTATGCAATACCCTTGAGAAAATTCTCATTATAAAGATTAGGGAAAATTCCTGATTAGTACCCTGTACTTTGGGCCTAGTGTCACTTTGGTCTCCGAACTTTAAAATACAACAATTCAGTACCCGAACTTTCAAAACGTGTCAATCCAGTACCTATCGTTAACCAATTGTTAACCAGCCATTAAATGCCTTTGAAAAAGAAACAAATGCCCTTCGAGTGTCGTCTAATTTTCTGTATCAACCATCCAAACATTGACAAAAAAAAAAATTAACAGTCCTAAATCCTTGCCTCTTTTATTCAAGAAAGTTGGGGTCCATAATGCCCACTAAGATGTGACCCCAACTTTCTTGAATGGAAGAAGGATTTGGGATTGTTAATTTTTTGTCAACGTTTGGATGGTTGATAAAGAAAATTAGATGATACTCGAAGGGCATTTGCATCTTTTTCAAATGGCACTTAACAGCTGGTTAACAACTGGTTAATAGTAGGTATTAAATTGACACGTTTTGAAAGTTTGGATACTGAATTGTCACATTTTAAAGTTGAAGGACCAAAGTGGCATTAGATCCAAAGTACAGATTAGAAACTCTTTCTTGTTACCATAATAGCATTCGAGAGCTTGAAAGTGCCAATAAAAAACCTTGATCTCCTCAAACAATGGTCTTCCATGTGGGTACTTGGCTATCAAGGCAAACTGTAGTGGATTAAATGAGTTTAAAATTTCTTCTTCTATAAAACACACAGAAGGCTCTCCCCACTCCAAAGTAGGAGCCCTATGAGAGATATCAATCATTTTAGGGATGAATGGGGTGACTAAACAAGGGTTTTAGAAAAATGCTAAAGAGGGAGGGGGATGATAGGATCTCAAACCCATCTCCTGAATAGTTGTCACAAATCCTCGGGGAAAAAAACTAAGGTCTTGTTTGTCAACATTAATTGCATTTGGCAAAACGTTTTTCTAAAAGCATCGTTATAATGATTGTGCATTGGGTTCGTGAGAGGGGGGATTCTTGAATCATTAAAATGATGCTTCTTGAATTACTAATAATGTGATGTGGCATTAGCTGGCAAACTAGTTAATGGTTCTGCAAATTTTTTTGCTCCCATGGGGCTAATAAATAAATGATCTCTCTCCCATAACTCTTAATTCTATTACCTTATCGAAAGAGGATGAGGTGACAATTCAAGTTGTGGAAAGAGGCATTAATCGGCACGGTTGTGAAGGGGCAGGGAATTAATGAATGGAAAGATATGTTGATAGCTTGTGTCATAAGAAAAATAGAAGATTGCTTCATAGATAATTTTGAAATCAAAGAGTGGTTTGCTAATAGATAGCATGGTCAGCCTAAACTACTAGTTATTAAGAGGCTTGTTGGTGGGAGATGGCGCATTTTTATGTTCAGGTAGTGAGTCCTTATTGTTTTCATGGTTATTTTCTCACGCTTCAAAGGTGGGTTAGCGCTATTTGAGTAGGTTCCTTCTCCCTCTTTTGATTATTCTCATTGATGGGTAACAGTCTTAATTTGTATCGTCATTGCATGCCTGGTGTTGGACAATTAATGTTCAAAGAGGTGGGAGATGCTTTCAGTGGATTCATGGAAGTTGAAAAACACAACATGGAAAGGAGATCCATTAAAGCTTTTGATCTGAGTTAAAAATGTGATAATGAGG